CTGTCCTCAAACTCACAGATTTGCTTGCCTCTGCCTCTCCGGTGCTGAGATGAAAAGTGTGCACTGCTATACCTAGCTCTATAGCATTTTCATTTGCTTATGTAGTTTTTATATAAGGCTCGCAGTTTCTGTTTCACTCTCTAGCCCTCCTAGCAGTTATTTTATTTTCTCACATTCTGTGGAGTTTGGGTTAATCAGCAGTGCTGAGGGTTCAACTCTGAGACTTCTTGCCTCAAGACTGCTTAGGCCTGAAGTACAAATTAAATAGTTTCTGCCCTGTCAGCAGAAAAGCCCATATCCCTGGACCTCTACTGCTATGCTAAGCCAGTTCTTGTGCATGGCCTGGCCTGTTAAGTGTGAAGACTCAGTCTCACTCCCTTGTCACCACGGAGGAATTTTTATATGCTCACTAATATTCCTTGTTCTGTCTTAGCAGGAGCTAGAAAACAGATAAAGATAGGTCTAGTTGGATTGCTCAGGCTGGCCTCATGTAACACGAGGGCCGGCTTGTTGGGGTTTCTGTCCCGCCCAGTACCCCAACAAGCCAGCAAGTCCCAAGGAAAATCACACGGAGTCTACATTAGTTTATAAACTGATTGGCCCATTAGGTCAGGCTACTTATTAGTTCTTATGACTTATCTTAACCCATTATTCTGATCTATGTTAGCCACATGGGCTCAGTACCTTTTTCAGCTGTCAGCTTACATGTTGCCTCTTCGGTGGTCTGCACAGGAATGGCTGAGGAACTTCTCTGCTTCCCAGAATTCTCCTGTTCTCATTGCATCACCTCTACTTCCTGTCTGGTTTTCCCACCTATACTGCCTGCCTGGCCAATCAGCGTTTTATTAAAATATGATTGACAGAATACAGACAATTCTCCCACATCAGCCTCAGACCCACTAAGGATCTCCTTGCAAAGTCTCTCAAGCAACTGGTTGGGGTTACAGATGCACATCACACTTGACGATGGTTCTACTTGACTGCCATTCTTGCACAATTAAACTCAGCAGAAAACCAGAATGTGGGGTGAGGAAACGGCTCAGACGAGAGCTTACCGCTTCTTTAGAGGTATCAGGACTCACACTGACTAGCTCACAACTGCCACAGAGGCTTCCAAGTTCAGTTCCATGCCCTCTTCTGCCCTGAGGGCACCTGAACACACATGGCATATACTCAAATACATACACATTAAAATTTAAGTATTTTTAAAATGCAAAAACACCCCTATTATCCTAGATCTTGAGAAGTTGGGGCAGAATAATGAGTTTGAGGCCAGCATGGGCTACATAGTGAGACCCTGTCTCAAAAAACTTCCAACGAAATTAACTAAATAAAATGATAACAAGACCAACAAACCAAAGACCAACACCCAAATCAATAAAATGAAACCCCTTAAAATTCTACTATAAATGCCTGTTTTGATGTTAGATCAGACATAAGAACAGTAACTAAGTGTCATGGCTCACGTCTGTAACCCCAGCACTCAGGAGGCTGAGGCATAAGGACTGTCATTAAATTTGAAGCCAGCCTAGGATACATAGTGAGTGCCAGACCATCCTGATTTACAGTGAGACCTCCTCAAAAACAGCAAACCAAACGAACCTGCTTACTGTTCCCCAGAGCCCAGTACAGAGCCAACAACACAGTTGTTACCTACACTCTCAGCCCACAAGGCCACTAGGGTGACCATTGTTTGCCCAGAATTTGGCTCCACCTACAGGTCACTTTCAGTACAAGACTTGCTGTTTCCAATATCCTGGTGGGTTCAGAAAGTATTCTCTCCACTTACAGAGAGCAAGTTGGGTCTGAACAGGTACTGGGGGCTGTGGACCCCCAAACCCTGAATTTCCTGTAAACAGCCTGCTACGCTTGCAGCTGCTCTGAGCAAAACAACTTGTTTTCCGGTGTTTGCAGCTGCTCTGAGCAGGAGCCTCAGGAGTTCCTGATGGCAGGGGAGTGGTTTCTGGTGGGTTTGGCTGGGGCGTGGCTATCAGTTAAGGATCCCTCTATAAGCTGCCCTGGAACACAATAAAGGGGGCATTCTTGGGGAATTCAAGGATGACCCATGTCTCTGTGTTTAAATCTCCAGGCCCTTGCCTGAGACTGACAGACCATCCACAGTGCAGGCAGTATGCTACAGGTAGCACACGTAGTAGCATGGACACTTACAGACAGGTTTGCTTTATAATTGCTGTTATTCGTTTTTAAAACCACGCTCTTGCCGGGCGGTGGTGGTGCACGCCTTTAATCCCAGCACTCGGGAGGCAGAGGCAGGCGGATCTCTGTGAGTTTGAGACCAGCCTGGTCTACAAGAGCTAGTTCCAGGACAGGCTCCAAAGCTACAGAGAAACTCTGTCTTGAAAAACCAATAAATAAATAAACAAACCATGCTCTTGCTGTATAAACAGGGCTAGTTTCCAACATGTAATCTTCCTGCCTCTGCTGCAGGAGAACTGAGATCAGAGACACAGGTCACAGCAGCCCACATGGAGAACTGACTAGTTCTGATCTCCAGAACTGCAGGAACACTACTTAGTAATGGAAAGAGCAACTGCCCAGCCTGTGTGGGGAGCAATTCCAAGGCAGGTGCAGCCAGCTGTCCACACAGACTCAGCCTCCCTGCGTCCTTCGGGCCTGGTACTTGATAGCCCAAACTGCCTAAGCTTGTGTTCACGAAGAGCAGCAACTGCCAAGCCTGTCCTTAGTGGACTGGCCATTTCTAAGACCTGGTCTTGGGCATCAAGCATATCTGGGGAACCTAGAAATAGTAACTTGTCGAGCTCTTCCCCAGACTAGTGGAAGGAGACTCATGGAGGCCCAAGTCCATGCCTACAGCCTTCAGTTGATTTCAATGCACAACTGAGACGAGCTGGTGCAGACTACCGTATTTTTTTTTCCTGTTTCAAGTCAGTCTCACCATGAAATTCTGGCTGACTTTAAATTCAGTATGAGAGACTGAACTCGAGATCTGTCTCCACAGCTGTGTGGCTAGTTTCCTCAACTTGCCAGAAGCTAGTCATCTGAGAGGAGTGAACCTCAGTTGAAAAAAATGCCTCCTTCTGTAGGCAGCCTGTAGGGCATCTTCTTAGCGACTGATGTAACAAAGCTCAACCATGGTGGGTGGTGCCACCCCTTGGCTGGTGGTCCCAAGGTGCTTTAAGATAGGTTGAGCAAGCCAGTAAGCAGCATCCCTCCATGGCCTCTGTATCAGCTCCTGCCTCCAGATTCCTGTTTCACTTGGTTTTAGTCCCTGCCTTGGCTCCCCTCAATGGACTGTGATTCAGAATGTAAGTCAAACCCTTTCCTTCCCAAGCTGCTTTCGGTCATGGTGTTCCATCACAGAACAGTAACTAGCCCTAAGACAGGAGCTACGGAATTAGAGGTACGCACCACCATCTCTGTCATCTATCCTGTAGCCCAATTTAGCCTCACTCAGAACTTTATTCTCTTGCCTCAACTTCTCAAGAGCTGAGATCACAGGTATAAGGCATCAGGCCTGGCTGTTGTGGATTATTTTAACTAGGTAAAGATGTGTAACATTTGTTTATGCTGCAGACTATTACTGTAACAGTGTAAAGGTGTTACTTTTGTTTATGCTCATCTGTTTAACTATGTAAAGACGTGTTGGGTGTGTTCCACTTTGCCTGCTTAAGGCACCCGATTGGTCTAATAGAGCTTAATGGCCACGAGTTAGGCAGAAGAGGGACAGGCAAGGCTGGCATGCAGAGAATACGCAGGAAGAGAAATCTAGGCTGGAGAGAGGAGGTGCCAGAGTGGGAGGAGAGAATGAGGGAGACACTCAGGGCAAGAAGCCAGGCAGCCCCACAGGCCAGACACAAGGGGCAGTGAAAGTAGGATATACTAGAGAAAGAAAGAAAAGTAAAAAGCCCCAAGGCTAAATGTAGATAGAGAAACAGGTTAATTTAAAAGAGCTAGCCAAAGCCAAGCCTAAGCTAGGCCGAGCATTCATAATAAATCTCCGTCACGATCTGGGAGCTGGTTGATGGCTCAAAGAGAAAGGCTGGTACACCTGGCTTGTTTGAGAGCGAAGGCCATTTTAGAACTTGTGGTCCTCCTGTTTCACCTTCCCAAACGCTGGGTTATAGGTCCGTATCCACACACATGTCCCCACTGGCTTTTTTTATTGCTTACTTTACTTTGATTGATTACTCGGACGTAATTTTGCCCCAGAGCTCATGCTGACCATGTGCTCCAAGGATGAAGTCCCACAAAAAAAACTGTGCAAACAGGTGTTCATGCACAGGTGGAGGTCAGTGAACTTCTAAGAGGTGGCTTTCTCCTTTCACTACAAAGGCCCTGTGGTTCAAACTCAAGTTATCAGGGGACAAGCACCTCTACATGCTGAGCTATTGTACCAGCCTTCTTTTCATTAAATGTTTTATTAATGAGCATTTATGCATGTTATATGTATACGGATACCCAAAGAGGGTATTGGATCTTCTGGTACCAGAGTCAGCAAGTATTTAAGCTGCTTGATGTGGACCATCCCAGCTTCCAGCTCCTTCCATTTGTTTTTTAAATAGTTTTTTTGAGACAGGGTTTCAGTAGCTCAGGCTAGCTTCGAACTCCAGAACTCACGATCCTCGCTGCTCTAGCTGGGATTAGTGGTGTGTGCCACCACGCTTGTTGTTATGCTATCTTATTTCACACTTCACAAGTTAATGTTTTGTTTTCCCTTCATCTTCTTATTGGCCCTCATAAAAAATTTAAGTTAGCTCTTAAAATAATTAACATCTTCTTTTCCAAAATATGAAACCAAGATCAGAGAAGTCAGATAGCAGAGGCAAAACCATTTAACGAATAATTATAGAATATTGGAGTCGGAGTTCATATCTAGACACTAGTGACCAATCTCTATGGTAGCATTGCTTCTCATTTTTCAGGTTTCCTAAGGAAGGGGGCTCAGAGGTTCTGATGGAGCCTGCTGCACTACAAAAGAATTATTCAGGGGAAGCAGAGAGTAGTATCCACAGGGAGGGTGCTGCTCAGACACATTTATTAATACCACATTGTAAATGGTACTCAGGGAAGTGTACAGCGATGTTCCATGTTCCCATCTAACACAGCTTGCTTAAGTTTAGCCGACAGGATTCATCTTGAGTGGACTCAGGGAGCAGTTAGTGATGACCATGGGCAGGTGCAGGACTGGAGCCTTCCAAGGAGAGGAACAAAGTGATTCAGTTTAGAAGCAAGAGCAGAATATAATTTACTGTTTAAAGTATCAAGTTAGACAATTCATCTTCAACGCTACAAAACAGAATGGGGACAGGGTATGGGGTACATATCTTTAATCCCAACACTTGGGAGGCAGAGGCAAGAGGATCTCAAATTTCAAGGCCTAGCCTGGTTTACATAGTAAGTTCCAGGTCAGCTAAGCTTACATAGTGAGACCTTGCCTCAAAAAACAAAAGAAGTCCCTGCCGTAATACAACCAACAAAACAAACAAAAATCCCACCTAAGGGGCTGGAGAGCTTGCTGGGAGGTTAAGGGCACTGGCTGCTTTTCCAGAGGTCCCGAGTTCAATTCCCAGCAACCACATGGGGGGCTCACAACCATTTACAATAGGATCTAATACCCTCTTCTGACATGCAGGCAGAACACTATATGCATAATAAATAAAACTCCACCCAGAATGGGGGTGGGAGCCACTTCTATGTGCCACACGCAGCACAGTCCCACATCTGTGCAAGTGATGCTGATGCCATAGTCCATCCTTGGGAGCAGAGAAAGGTCTCCCCTGCAGAAGCTCAGGAAACCAGTCCTGGGTTTGCATAAGTCTCAGATGACCAGTGTCAGTGCCAGGGCACAAACTTATCACATACTTTCCTCCAAATAAAACAGGAGCTTCAGTAGCATGCTCACCCAGCTAGCCTGTGCCTCCCTACTGGTGGCGTTAGCTACCTGCTCTCTCCGACACTCCCAGAAGTGTTACTTGGACCAAAGGGTGCTCACTGTAACATTTAACTGCTAATGTCTTGATCTTTAGTATTTCCACAGTATCTTATAGAATCGCCGAACCAGGCATCCGTTTCAATTCAGGACTCATATAACTTGTTTTGAAAAGCTATAATGGCCTTATTCAATCCCCAACCATCCAAGAAGCAGAACTCTTACCTTTCAAAGCTTTGCTTCTTTTATCTAAAACAGAAGAGAAAATCAGTTACACCAATGCCCCACAAAAGTGCCCCGTCAATAACTGTCAAAAATCAACATGACTGCAGGCTTCACACGTTGGGTATGACATTACAGCATGCTTTCAGAAACAGTTATGGCTGTGTGTCATAGTCATTTCTTTTTCCAAAGTTGGAAAACTGGCATACGAAGTAGGAAGTTTCAAGACAGCATGTACACACACCCATTCATGTCCTGTTTCCTCTCTTCCCTCCGCCCTCACTTGCTCTCCTCTCCTGTTGGCCATCTCCTGCATGCAACAGCTTCTTTTTACTTTCATGGCAGGTGTTCATGTGTAAGCAGACTGAGAGAAGATGTGTAATAATTGTCTTTCTGAGTCTGACATGTCACTAGCAGGACAATCTTCACTTCTATTCATTTTCCTGCAAATAATTTATTTTTTCTTTTATAGCTGAATAAAATTCCACTGTGCATATCTATCAGTTTTTTTTTTTTCAGTCTAAGCTCTCCCAACAAGGGTTTTTTCAGCTACTTTAGTCCATATTTTTTTTATTCATTCATTTGTTGATGCATATCCAAGATCATAGTTCTGGACCAGCCAGATGACTCAGCAGGTAAAGGCGCTTGCTGCACAAGCCTGGTGACCTGAGTTCAATCCCTGGACCCACATACAGGTGAAGGGAGAACCAACTGCATCCCTCTGCACACATGCTATAACACCTGTACCCCACACACATCATGTGTATTTACATGCACAGGATAATATTTTTTTGCTTGTTTTTTTTTGAGGTAGGATTTCTCAGTAGCTTTGGAGTCTGTCCTGGAACTAACTCTTGTAGACCAGGCTGGCCTCGAACTCACAGAGATCCACCTGTCTCTGCCTCCCGAGTGCTGGGATTAAAGGTGTGTGCCATCACCATACAGCAGGATAGAAATATTTTTAAAAGTCATAGTTCCCTAATAAATTGTGATTTTTTTTCTTGTAGGAAATTATTTTAATGTGTGTTATTTTTGTTTATGCTGCATTTGTTTAACTCTGTGAAGCTGTGATTCTTTGCCTGTCTAAAACACCTGATGGTCTAATAAAGAGCTGAACGGTTAATAGTGAGGCAGGAGCAAGGATAGGCAGGGCTGGCAGGTAGAGTATAATTAGAAGAAATGTGGGCAGAGGAAGGAGCAAAAGAAGAAGGAGAGGAAGACACTAGGGGCCAGCCACCCAGCTAGTCTCCGAGTAAGATTGAAAGTAAGATATACAGAAATGGAGAAAGGAAAAGGCCCAGAGGCAAAAGATAGACGAGATAAAGCTACCTAGAAACAAGCCAAGTTAAGACTGGGCTTATAAGAAAAAGGTGGGTGGCGGGTCCCCTAAAGACCAAAGAGTAAACAACCAACACCAGATTTTTTTTTTTTATCTGAAACACCACCCCTGCCAACTTTGAAGAATTACATAAAAACATAAACCTACCAGCACTCCTGATTTTATAAAGGATGAAGGTCATCAATCCCATTCCTACCCAAATTTCCTGGTAAACTTGGGTATAGTAGGGTTTCATGGGGACCCAGACATTCTTAATAAGGCTTTGAAGCATCTGAAAAAGAATGAACATTAAGATTACTGCTAGCGCATACCCAACTGGCAGGAAGGAAGGATACTGCTGTCATTATTTCACCTGACAGTGTTCTAGCCCCACAGGCTCTGTGGAGCTCTCTGAACTGACACCCTTCCAGCAGGCTCCCCTGTAGGCCTATCTGCCACTAATGCTAGCCCAAGTCACATACCACTTTTTTGACCTTTGGGTGGAAACACTCAAAGCGTTTCAAATTGGAGGGGGAAAAATCCAAACCAAACCAAACCAAACCAAAAAAATCAACCAGGGTTAGGCGTTGTCATTTCTGTGGGAAACCAATTCCCAGGCCTGGTAAACTGATACTCTTTCACCTCCAGTTGCTCAGTGCTGAGATTGATGGATGAATACAGAACAATACAGGATGAGCCAAATATGATCGCTCTCAAAGTAATGTTTCCTGTTTTACAGATTCCAAACCAGATACTCCACTCGCAGCTGTGAGACATCGGATGACTCCAGGAACATCCAGCTCCGAGCCCTTCTCATTTGACTTGGAAACCCCTGGGCTGCAGTCAGTACCTTACCTTGAAGGCCCTGCTCTGCACCATGACTGCAGAGAGTTCTACCTCTCGGTGTTCTCTGGCTTTCCACAACCGTTTGTCAATCCTGTAGTACAGATCTGTCAAAAGTTCAGTCTAGGTAAAGGCCAATGGCTGCCCTTAAATTTCTGAGACCTGGACCACATTGACTGAGCAGAAGGGAAGAGGCCATGTGCTGTAGGAGGAAAGGAGGAAGGAGCCAGGCCATCTGCAGAAGCACTCATAATGAACTTGAGGATCAGGGAGGAACGTGGCTGCCAGACACAAACCCACTACTTCAGATGTCTCACTTGTATGACAGGGATAGTAAAATAGTTCTACCCGAAGGGGTGGCTATAATCTTTAAGTGAGTTAGTGTATGTAAAATGCATACAGCACCTGGCACCATTTTGAAAGTACCTGTTATACAGAATGTTATTGTTGAACCAGGGAACATGTGCACACCAATTAGGTCCTTGAGTTTAGATTCTAATCTAAGGATGTCCTCCAGGGGGTGGAGATGGCTCAGCCGGTTCTGGTCCCAGAATCTACATGGTGGCTCACAACCATCTGCAATGTAACTCCAGTTTCAGGGGGTTGGACACTGCTTTTGACCCTCCAAGGGCACATACAGAGTACACATACATACATACAGGCAAACACATACATAAATCTAAAACAAAACAAAACAAAAGCCCCAAACAGCACCATTTACTGCTTGACAATCTCCTATACTACTGCCTCCCAAAGCTACCCATGACCCTAACTAGATTAGAGCTCACCAAATCTGGTCTACACTCCTGGTTACTGTAGCAATCTATGCCTATGGTCTTGCTTCCAGCTCTCTCCTATGGGAATGAACTTAAATTGAAGAATGGCCTGAAGGTTAGCTAGCCCAGAGAGTTAACTCATAGGGTGTGGCTATTATCTTCTCCTGGACTGTATCGGTCCTAATATTTGTATTCAGATGCTCTAACATGATAGTCCTACCTTGGATATCCTTCGGAGGTGGCCTTTGGAAAGCTGAAGAATCCCAAGCTACTGAGTGACAGACAAGGACTCAAAGTATTGCAAAGGACAAGTGGGTTAGAAATTCCAGCTCTGTTCTCAACTTCAGAATTCCCTGAATCTCCTGTCAGGTCTTTCTGTCAATCAAGGACCTTGAAATATAAAGGGTCCAGCTTAGGGCCTGGTGCAGAGTAAGCACACAGTAAAATGTTCAAACCTGTAACAAGAAACTGCTACAAAAACTCAACAGAAAGCGGCAATTGCTAGGCCACTGGGATTCTAAGGGGGGGACCTGAAAGGGAGTCCTCTTTTCCTCTAGCAGGCTGAGTTCAGGGTTAAGACATGATATCAAGGACAGGCGGTGGTGGTGCATGCCTTTAGTCCTAGCACTTGTTGGTAGGCTGCAGCAGGTGGATCTCTGTGAGTTCAAGACCAGCCTGGTCTACATAGAAAAATTCTTTTTTTTTTCTTCCGAGACAGAGTTTCTCTGTAGCTTTGGAGCTATCCTGGAACTCGCTCTGTAGACCAGACTGACCTCGAACTCACAGAGATCTGCCTGCCTCTGCCTCCCAAGTGCTGGGATTAAAGGTGTGCGCCACCATGCCTGGCAGAGAAACCCTGTCTTAGAAAACAAAATAAAAAAGGAGTGGGACTAATATAGCCCAGCGTAATGGTGAGTGCACCAGGGAGGCAGATGAACCTTTCTTAGCTCTAGGCCAGCCTGGTCTACAGAGCGAGTTCCAGGAGAGCCAGGGCTGTTACAGAGAAACCCTGTCTCAATGCCCCCTGCCCCAAAAGGGAAGTACTATTTATCACACGCGGGCCTAGAAGGAGAAGTAAACTAGAAGGATATAAAGGGACTTCAGTTACCTCAGGATTTTGTTCAGGATCTGAGGACTCTGGCACTGTTTTACTCTACGGAGACTGCCTATGCCTGCAAAGGTTTTGAAAATTAAAGTAACAGCAAGCGTGCAGTGCACTGGAAAGAGAGGACACGTGACAGGCTAAGGTTAATAATGTGGTTTGACACAATTTCGAACATCTCCCTTGCCAACGCGTAACTTGGAAGAAACCTGTGGCATAAAGGAAAGAAGGCAGTAACTTTGGAGTGATGCTTCTTGGCTCGGACTCTAGCTGCATCACTAACTAGTTGAGTAACTTGGGTAGGTAACAGGACGCTCACGGTTGATGGTGGCATACTCCTTTGCCAAAGCCTATGTACACAGGCCCATCCATGTGTCCATAATGCTGCCTCAGGTGGGCCTTCACCAGAATCTAGCTCCTGGACAACACCTTCTCTGTGATGATTCTTGGTGCCTCACCTTGAAGTCTTGAGGAATAACCCCTCTAAAGTATAGAAAAATTATCTCAGAGCACACCCTCCCAGACCCTTGTTAACGCCAAGGACTGGCAACAACCCCTCGTCCGGACAATCGGGGAGCCTGACACCAGGAACCCCCTTGCAAGTCTGGAGAACAGACCCCCGGGCATTCCCCGGCCGCAGTCGTGGGAACCCCGTGGACCCTCCTCACAGTCCGCGGCGCAGGGGCTGACCCAAGGTCAGCGAGGACCGCAGAGTCCCTGGCCTGCGCTCCCGACCTACTTCAGCCCCACCGCACCCCGTCCCGGTCTCTCTCCAGTCCCCGCTGTTGGGAACACAGGAAAAAGCCCAGACCCGGCTCTCACCTCAGCGGGACCAAGGCCACAGGCCACACCAGATTTCCACAAGCTTGGGAAAGGTCACTGAGCACGCAGGCGCTGCGCGGGGCCAGCCGGGAAAGCGGAAGGAACGGAGGCTCCAGGAGTCGGTTGCCGGGCCTTCTGCGCCTGCGCACCACAGCGCCCCCTGTGGTCACCCGGGTGCTGCAAGCTTAGGTGGGAGTTGGCCCAAACCAGGAGTTGCTGGGAGATGGAGTCTACTGTGTCTCTATAGTGTCTTAACACTGACGTGGGTTTCCGGAAACACTGGGCTTTCAGTACTGAACCTAACACAGTAGACAGTCCAGATAAATTGACCTTAAGACAAACAAAAAACCCTTTTTGCAGGGCTTAAGCCTTTAACCCCAGCACTCAAGAAGTGAGGCAGTAGGCCTGGGCTACAGCGTGAGACTGCCTCATAACCCAAATCAAAAGTCAGGTGTGGTGGCGCACGCCTTTAATCCCAGCACCAAGGAGGCCGAGGCAGGCGGATCTCTGTGAGTTCAAGGCCAACCTGGTCCACACAGTGAGTTCCAGGACAGCCAGAGCTACACAGAGTGGCCGAGTCTCAAAAAACAAAACAAAACAAAAAAACCACAAAAACAAAGCAAAGGCAGGTCTTAGTGGCACAGGTCTTTAATCCTAGCACTTGGGAGGCAGAGGCACCAGGATGGGGGTGGAGTAAGGGGGGAGGTGAGGGGGTGGGTGGGTGAGGAGTAAGGGGATGTTTCTCTTGAGTGTGACACTAGGGTGTTCTATATAGCAATTCTGGTCGGGACAATTACATTCCCACCTTCCCAAACAAACAAAATACCAAAGGAAACAAAGCAATAAAGAAAAAAGATACCGTCTTTGCTTGATTTTTTAAAAAAATTTATTTAGAGATAGTTTTTTTTTTTTCTATGTTGCCTGGAACTTGCTATATAAACCAGGCTGAGCTCAAATTCAGAAGTTTGCCTGCCTCTGCCTCCTGAATACTGGGATTAAATGCCTGCACCATTACGCCAAGCTTTTTTTGTTTCTCGCCATTTCCCCCAGTATTGCTAAGTTTTGTGCTACATATTTGAATAAGTAGCTATTCTGAGCAGAGCAATTATCTTTAAAATACGTTGGAAAGTGATTTAAAGACTTCCGCAGAAACTCCAGGGACTGAACCTAATAGTTTTTTTTTTTAAAAATAAATAACGCTAGCTGTGTGTGGTGTGCATATAATCCTTGCACTTGGAAAGCAGAGGATGATCAGGATTTTATGACCATCCTGGGCTACATGAGACCCTGTTTCTAAAAAATCAAAAACTAGCCAGGCGGTAGTGGCACATGCCTTTAAACCCAGCACCCGGGAGGCAGGGGCAAGCGGATCTCTGTGACTTTGAGGTCAGTCTGCTCTATGCAGGGAGTTCCATATCATGCTCCAAAGATACAAAGAAACCCTGTCTTGAAAAACCAACCAACCAACCAACCAACCAAAAATTGGTCTTGTTTTATTTTAGCCTTTAAAAAAGGCTTAATTTTATTGTGTTTTATTCACATCTATGTCTGTGTATCGAGTTTGTGCCTGGTGTCCTCAGAGGTCAGAAAAGGGCATTGAATACCCTACAACTGTAATTATGGATGGCTGTGATCTACCATTCGGCGCTGGGCCCATACCTTTGTTTAAGGAACCACTAAAACATCAGCAAAAAGTGGAAAAACAAACCTATCTATTGAATTAAAACAAACTAGGACTTGGGATTTAGCTAAGTGGTAGAGCTTGCTCTAGCATAAGGCCCTGGGTTTAGTCCCCAGCTGGGGGTGGGTGGCTGGGTGGTGAGTCAAAATAACAACAACAACAACAACAACAACAACAACAACAACAACAAAAGGTTCCAGCAGTGGTGATGCCCTTAATCCCGGCACTTGAGAGGCGGAGGCAGGCAGATCTGTGAGTTGGAGGCTCCTGGTCTATAAAGAGAGTCCCAGGACAGCCAGGGCTATTACACAGAGAAACCCTGTTTTGGAAAACCAAACAGAACCAATCAACCAAACAAACAAAAAACAAAACTTAAAAAAAAACACCAAATTTGGTATGTGTAGCAATTACCAAAACAGAAGCCAGGAGAAATAAATAAGAAGCACAGACAAACAAGAGAAGACAAAGATACCTCACAGAAAGAAAGCCCGCAGCAGTCAGTCCAGTGCAGCTGGGATTGTCTCCCTCTCCTTTCCTCTTTTATTTTTTTCCCTTAAAATTTTTTACTATGTGGATGTGTGTGTGTGTGTGTGTGTGTGTGTAAATCAAAGTGCCACGGTATCCACATAGAGTGATAGGAAATCCACATGGAAGTCCCAGGCATCACACTCAAGTGGTCAGACACCTTTACCCACTGACCCATCTAGTTAGCCTTCCTTTGTTGTTGTTGGTTTGTTTTGTTTTGTTTTTTTTTTTTCGAGACAGGGTTTCTCTGTGTTACAGTCTTAGCTGTCCTGGAACTAGTTCTTGTAGACCAGGTTGGCCTCGAATTCACGGAGATCCACCTGCCCCTGCCTCCCAAGTGCTGGGATAAAAGGTGTACGCCACCACAGCCCGGCTTGTTATTGTTTTTTACATTTAAAAATCACTATTATTTTTTTGGATATGGGTGTTTTGCCTACATATATGTATAGTTCCAAACGCACGGCAATTCTCCTGCCTCAGTCTTTCAAATGCTAGAATTACAGGGGTGAGCCACTATGTCCAGCTTTTTTCTCCCATGATGCTGGGGATGAGCCTGGGGCATTGAGCAACATATGAACTCTACAATTGAGCTTTACTTTCAACCAGACAGCTAACTAGATCTTAGAGATCAATGGGGCATAGGGGAGAAATATTTGAAGAGCTAATAGTTGATTGAGAATTTCCCAAAAGGGATTAAAAAAAAATCAAAGGCTCAAAAAGTCTTATTGAAACCAAGCAGACAGAGAAATGAAAAGTCTAGAAGCCACATAATAAAACTAACGACTAGGGCTAGGGTTGGAGCTCAGTGGAAGGGTGTTTAGCATGTGTGAGGACCCTTGGGGCCATCCCCAGCACCACCAAACAAAAGATGCTAATATCAAAGAATGATGGTAAATAGCTGCCCATCTAGAATTCCATTTATCTAAAAATTAACATTTCGTAAAGGTAAAATACTGTTTTGGACAAATTAAAAATGAAGGAATAATTACTAACAGGTCTACAGTAAAGTCATTCAGACAAGAGAAAAATGACCTCAGATGAGAGGATGGGGATACGGGGAGAATGCAGAGAAATGGCCGTCATCCTTCTCTGAAGGGAAAAGGGGCTTTGGATCAAATGAAGTTGCATGGAATCTTGGAAAGCTTGCTATTCTAGGGTAGTGATGCTCCAGGTTCAGAGGTTTCTAGGGTCTCTGAGGATCAAAATCACAATATGGTTTGTCTTTTCTTGCTAGAATTCTCTTATGTGCACAACGGAATGTTCCAGAGATCCTGAGACTTGTGATATCATATAGCATCACAGAGACAGAAAAGTTGCTGTTTTCATTCAGTTCGACACTAAGGGACTGGTGAAAATTTCTAAGTGTCACTCTGGGGCTGGAGAGATGACTCAGCCATCAAGGGCAGGGGCTGTTCTGGAAGAGTACCAGAATATGATTCTCAGAACATGAGCTGCTTACAAGTTGCTTGTATCTCCAGCTAATCTAATGCTCTCTTCTGGCCACTCACACATAGCATATATGCACACATATGTGTAAATAAAAATAAAATTTAAAAATGTGTCACTCTTACATATAAGCTTTTGGGAAAATACAGTGATTTTCATAAATAATATTGCTTGACATTAAATGAGTTTTTAATTGCTATTTTAAATTAATAATGTTTTACTTTTGAAAACATTTTTTTTTAAAAATTATTTATTTATTTATTTATTATGTATACAACATTCCTTCCATGTATGCTTGCATGCCAGAAGAGGGCACCAGATCTCATTATAGATGGCTGTGAGCCACCATGTGGTTGCTGGGAATTGAACTTAGGACCTCTGAAAGAGTAGTCAGTGCTCTTAACCTTTGAGCCATCTCTCCAACCCTGCAATAAGACATTCTAACTAAAGCAATTTGGGGAGGAAAGGGTTTATTTCAGATTGCACTTAAAAGTCACAGTCTATCATTGAGGAAAGACAAAGGTGAGGACTTTAGGCAAAGCAGAGGCAGGAACCATGGAGAAAGGCAGCTTCCTGGCTTACATTCAGTTCCACCTGCCTTGGAATGGTGTCATCTACAGCGGGCTGGGCCCTCACACATCATTCATCAATCAAGACAATCCCATCTGAGTAGTCCCTCAACTAAGACTCCTCAGTAGGCTGTGCTGAACTGAAGATCATTTGGACAAGGGCGTATAACCTTCCTTGGTTGTAATCCTCCATAGACAGATAGATATAAACCATAAACAAAAGCTCTTTAGGGTGAAGTCACTATTAGGAGTACAAAGAGGGCCTTGAGACCTGAATCAAGTTTAAGATGTAGTTCAAAAAGAATATGTTATTTCATTTTTTTTTTTTTTTTTTGGAGATAAACTCTTACGCTGTTGCTCAGGCCGGCAAACGCCCAGCAATTCTGTCTCGGTCTCTGAAGTGCTAGGATTAAGGATTACTGTTATGAGCTAACAGGAAGAGCATCACAGCTCTTTGAAGACAAAGCTTCAAACCAGACAACAGGCCTTTAATGTAATTTCAAGTCCAAAACACTGTATCACATCTTCAAACGATTGAACATGTTTACTGGCCATTCCAGGAGAGTCATTCAAAACGCCTAATGCTGCGTGCTTTCTGAGGCTAAAAGGCGAACGAATTTAAATAGTTTACTTCTGTTTTATGGCGAGTGCTGTTAATAGATCCTTCGTGGCTAAATGTTTGCATCCCTGTTCTGCAGACCCTCAAGCTGTTCTGTGAATAAGCCAAATCTGCCCCAAAGGCCAAGGCCATGAGCTACTCAGTCTTCACATGAGATCTGATGATCTAGAGCCTACAAGCCCTTTAAGAATCGCCTGATAACAAGTGGTCCTTGTTAGCTTTGATTTTTGAGTCACGTGAGAAGGGAACACCAAAAACTATCCCACCTAGTTAGGGCCAATGAGACCCTTGTTCAACTATCGGTCTGG